TAATTTCAGTAACTGAATGTCCACTTGCTTTCAATCTCCAAATTTCAGTTACTTCTGAAGAAAATTGAATTTCTTTCTAAATCTTGATTTTTCTGTTATTTCTTTGTTAATTTCATAAATAACCATTATAAAAACAGTATTTTATTGTTAACAATCATAATTTATGTCATTTGTTATGAATTTGTGCAGTAATTTGCTCAAAAACAAATAAAATATTATTATTACCTAAACTTTTGGGACAACAATGTTAGCACATTTCTATTATTCTAAGCAATTTAGTAACTATTAAATTGTTAAATTTATCTTTTTAATAATATTTAATTCGATGTATTGTGATCTCATTTCACTTATTAAATAAATTGAAAGTTCAGTATTTTAAAAATTCTTCATGAAAAATTATTTTACCTAAACTTTTGGGACAAACCTTGCAACAGCATTTCAGGCATTAAATATAAATTTATATTATAAAAGTATTACAAAGTATTTATCATTTTATTCTATTCAGTTATGACTGGGTTACTATAACAGTCCTTGTAAGTTTAGTTTTTGTATAAAGTTAGTTTTTATTTTTCAAATTAATCTATATCTATACAATATATAAAGCATGAATGTTTGCTAGAGATAACCTTAAATACTACCAAATTGATTTTTAAAATTCTTTTGCTATTGGAAAGCTTATTTCTTCCAGATGATCATAGGCCATGTACTATTTTCATATTTAAAAAGGAAAATGCACAAAAATGATGTTTTTACTGTTGCATTTGCCTTGCAAATTGCTCTGTTCAAGGTTAATCCTCTTCACCACCTGGTTGGCTTTTTTAAATTTATTATCTTATAGTTTTGATTTGTGTAGTTTGGGTAGTTGTGAATATGCTTTCTTTCCATTGTCTTGGTCATTTGTTTCTTATGTTATCAGACACAACTATAAGGAGCAAATTTACTTCCCTTAGATGAAAATAAACTTTTGTAAGTAGGCCTATAATATTTTTATGTGTTCATTATTTTAGTATTAATCCTGCCATACCATTATTTTAAAAGTAAGAATTAGTTATGAGATAGCTAACTATATAAATTGCATTCTTTCGGTTACTTTTCAGGTGTGGTGTTACAACACCATTTTAATATATTTTTTTTAATATATGTATATGTGGGGGCCGAGGGGGGAGAGAAATAAAGAAACTCGATGAATGATAATATGTGATATGTATCGTCATCGTCTCCCTTGCCGTTTGGATTGCCGAGCGGTAACAATCAACGACATGTGGAAGCAGTTGAGTCAGAGATAGATGCATCGTTTACAAACAACACAACCGTTTATTAAACACGAAAGAAGCTTACAAGATTTCCGCGATCTTGGAAGTTCTGCGGCGGCTCGGCCTCTGGGTCTTCCTCTCCTTTCCAAGATAGTCCCATTTTGAAGGAGTGTCCTGGTTCGTGAATGAACCGTTCCATCACGTCTCGATGACTCCGGGACGATGCGTTTGACTTCCGTTGATGAAAAGATGTTGATCCGAGGTCGGGAGATGGAGACGAAGACACACACACAACAACAGATTCGTCACTTGGAACTTTCGGGAGAAGAAGCCGTCACGTCCTCAAATTTCCGGGGTTTTATCCGTTTTCTCTCAGATTCCCCTTTCCGATTGGTCTCTCCTCGTCACCTGATGACAATTCGAAACCTTTCGGGGGCGCAGGAGAGGTCAAAATCGAGGTTTAATTCGATCTCCAACCGGAAATGATCGACGGACTTACATTCTTCTATTGTTTAAAAGTTAGCGTCGCGTTTTCATAAAATAAAAATCTATTTCTAACTACTATATATTTTTTCTTTAAAACAATTATTTTAACACGAATTTTAGTGAGGGTTCGGACCTTTCCAGAGCCTCACATATATTCTTATATTTTTTTGTTTGTTTTGTGACTGTTTGTCCACAGTAGGGGAAGCCACTATTACCTTTCATTGAGGGATATTTAAGGTGTCCCCGTTGTTTCTTACACCTTGTTTTTTATTTTTGGGGATTCCCACTATAAAATTGGGAAGACAAGTGAGCAAGAAACACAAGTGAAAGAAAGTGTGTATGGAAGACAACAAAACTTTTTTTATCCATTCCCATTGAAGATTTTGGAAAAGACTCTTCTGAATGAATTATCTCCAAACTTTGTTATTGACAAGATTCAACAAAATGAAATATTAATAGTTAGTTTTGTACTAGAGGTCAACATGGAAATTTTGGACTTTCATAACAGCAGGTATTTGTTTAGTACTATACATGTTGATTATTGTTAGCAAAAAATCATTTGAACAGGAAAACATTGTAACTTTAGCTACATGTGTCAATTATTGTAACTTTATTTGTCCTTGGTGCAAATTAAATCAAGTTCCCCTTTGTTTTGTACCATTGGGAACTACACAGGTGCATGGATGTGCAAATGAACCTTATTGATGATAAAATGCCTAGAAGAAAGTTGTAATTGTCACAAAATAGCCATCCATCTGCTTTAAATCAGGGATGCAAACATGAAACATGATACCCTATGGGAAACATGGACTACCGTAAAACTTGGACCCATCATTCCTTCTCTTTGATTTCATTCCCTATCCTCAAACTCTAACTTTTTGAAAGATCTGGACAAATTTTGCATAGTTACTCTCTACAATCTCCAAAAAATATATGCTACTTTAAAACTTGGACCCTTACACCTTCCCTTCTGTTTCATACTGCACAAATTGCCAAACTGTGGCTGATTTGCACCATATTTGCATAGTTGCTCTCTGCCACCCTGTGGGAAACATATGCAATCTTACATTGAGGACAACTCAAATCTCTCTCTAAGTTCCAGTCACACTGGGCATTCTTTGCTAGTATTAAATAATAATAAAATATCACATTACATTTGTTTTAGTATTTATATATTTTTTGATTTTATATATTGCTAATTTATCACAATGGATTATGCCAAACGATAACACACTAATATATAGCCCATTATATAATAAACACACCAAACGATATGCCAAATTCAAAGAATTTGGCATATCGTTTGGTGTGTTTATTATATAATGGGCTATGGTTGTTGATGTTTAAAAGTAATATGTATGAACACAAGTTTGGAAAAATATGTGATCACAAGTGACACTAAGATGCTAGTAAAATGAGTGCTAAACACAGACTGATGGAGCATGCGCACATTTCAGAACTTTCCCTCTCTTCGTCACTTGTTATGCAAAACATCGCTCGTTAAGCGAGGCAATTTTTTACTATTTATTTTGCTTGTTATGCGAAACACTCATTATGTGAGGTGCTTGTTAAGCGAGGTTCCACTATATCTGTTTGTCTAACATTGAATAAACTCAAATTTGTCACTACTAGAATTTTCTTGTAGCCACAATGTTTATTCTTATTATTTTACCAGTCATTAAGACTCTTGCTATAAATTTGCATTGATGTATAAGAATTTTGTTATAATTTAGAATGATTATTCCAGTGGCACAAACTGCTTTGATGGAATTGTACATTCTCTAATGTTTTCAGAAAGCCAGGGCTGTGGAATCGTGTAAAAATCTACCAACTTCAACTCTGACCCCAACCAGAGGTGGACTTGTTAACAAAATAGGCCCAGGAATTCTGATGTAATCATGTGACATCAGAATAAAAGCTTCAATAAAAGTTCTAACAAAGATAGAATGTAGAAACTTTTTTATTTTAATGCTAAAAGACTCCTCTAAGTAATGACATTCAATATATAAATATGTACCAAAAAGTTCTTCTCAATATCAGGTGTGGCAGCTGATGAATACGTAGTTTGAGTATATGTCTCTTTAATCCGAATCGATAAAACACGGTAGACTTTCTCTCAGCTATAAGGTTAGGTACTCCTTTATTGGAAATCACAAATGCATTTCGGGCCTATATGAGCCCTTGATACCACACCTGATATTTGTAAACCTGAAAACATTGTAACTTTAGCTACATGTGTCAATTATTGTAACTTTATTTGTCCTTGGTGCAAATTAAATCAAGTTCCCCTTTGTTTTGTACCATTGGGAACTACACAGGTGCATGGATGTGCAAATGAACCTTATTGATGATAAAATGCCTAGAAGAAAGTTGTAATTGTCACAAAATAGCTATCCATCTGCTTTAAATCAGATATGAAAATATCTGAAAATAAAATGGAAAATGAATTATTTTATTTATGAAAATAAAATGGAAAGAAAAGAAAAAAAGAACAGTTATTCTGATAACGTCTTAGAGTACACAATATAGTATTGAATACCTTACAGGTTTTTAATTGTACCTGTGTAATAGTGTCATCCAATACACATTCATGTTTTTTTGGATTATATAAAATATCATTGTTAGAGTCATATAATTAGAAAAGCGTTGCTCTGTCTTCTAAGCATTTACACTGAAGAGGGGCTCATATAGGCCCAAAATGCATTTGTGATTTGCAATAAAGGAGTACAGTACCTAACCTTATAGCTGAGAGAAAGTCTACTGTGTTTTACTGATTCGGATTAAAGAGATATATACTCAAACTATAAATATGTATTTGATAATTTTTACTTTCCTGGCTGTTATATATAATAGAGGAAAAGTGTAGTGATTGGTCAAAAAATGACCCCCAAAATTTTTTACATTTAAGGATTCCAGACACCTTAAAATGTAGAGATATGAAAAAGATTTGGAGATTTTTTTCCAGTAAGTATGGATGTTAGAATGTGTAGTTTGTGGCAAGATTTTGTTCACCCTGTTTGAAATCTTAGATCCTATAGTCTCAGTAGAAGGGCAGCCTACCTTTCTATTGAGACTACAGAATTTCTGCACTGAAGAAAACACTTGGTCACTGACATGATCATTTTAAGTCTGGAAATGATGCACAAATATTACAGTGCTAATTTTGAATTACTTGCATAAAAACAGAAATTAACATGTTAATTTTTAATGCTAACATTACTTCATAATATTTTAAATCAATTGATCATTTTCATCTTACAGAATAATGTACCATATTGGAAAGATTTTCATTCAGCTGTATTTATTGATAAGAAAATGTATCTATTTGGTGGACAACAATTGAAAAGAAAACAAAAAATTTGCAGTAATGAATTAATTTACCTAGATACTGAAACAATGACATGGAATTATTTGTATCCAAAAGGAAATGTTCCTCAAGGAAGACGTAGTCATTCAGCTTGTAAGTAACTTTAATTAATTTAAAAAGAAGAAACAAAATATAAATGTTTTTACAATAATAATGATATTGTAAGTTTATAAAAAATTATTACATTAGTGTTTTAAACTTATGTATGAAATGTTTAGTTAAAATGCATATACATTTATCTCTTAACTTTAAATGGAATTTACATATATCCAGGTTGTGATCAGTCAAAGTTCATGGAGGTTCCCCATAGAGCTATTTTACTTTTATTGCTTAATTTCATGCTTATACAGGGCCGGATCATCGCATAGACAAATGAGACAAATGTCTAGGGCCCGGTCAAACTGTCTATTTTGAAAAGATTTGTAAATAAGATAGATTACTTTTCTGTTGGACAACTGTATAATACTGGTAAAACTGGTAAAATATTATATTATTTAAATATTAACCAAAAAGGTTAAATTAAACAAGTAAAACGGCAAAACCGTATTTGGGACACGACTATGTCTCCGAGACACTACTAAGCAGAATCACTTTGACGCTCAAAGCGGATCTCTTTCTCATTCTCCAATCTTCTTTGGTATCACTGCTTTTGGGCGCGATCGTTGAAACTTCGCCAGCCACAACCACGAGGTCGTCCACCATGCATTTTTGATGAAATTAACCTATCCAATTTCGAAATTTCTCTCCGTTGCGTGTCGGCCCAGGTTGAATTTTTGTCGATGCCTAACGAAAATTTCTCGTCTTTGAAAAATTAATCATGGTTATTGTATCGTCCGAAATTATTATTTTTTTATTTTACACAAAGAATATACAGTTTAACCTGATTTTAACTGTCAAATTTTTACTGGTCCCATGATTTTACTATACTAGACAATGTTAAAAAACCTACTTGTAACGACATAAAACCCTGTTTTAATGTCATATTTGAAGCACTCCCAAATTTACAAAATTAGATTACAAATTTTATTTAAGAAAGAAAATACTACGTGTTCAGTTCTAGGGTCAGAGTCCATTTCCTTGAACGACTATTGGTGGTACTCTCACCACCTGACTTCGGTTTGCTTGTTTGTAGAGAGAGTCACCATTTTGTATTTTACTTTCACTCGGTTCTCGGTCCCGAGTACCTACAAGTCAGGTTTTTTTATGCGCGCATGATTTGGGCACTTAATACTCTGTGCCAAATTGCAACTTCTGACATGTACTCCGTCATACCTCTAAGCTGGTAACACAGCATGCAGTACGATTTTATAAACAAGACATAGTCTTGTTGACAATTATGTTTTTTAAGGTAATATTGTTATTTTACAACAACTTTTGTTAGACATTTAATAAAACAAATTTCAATATTTTAAATTTATAAACAAACTGTTCAAACTTTTCTAGAAAAACTAAAATTTATTGTTGTGTATTAAAATATTTTTATTAATAAAAATTTAAGATTTGTATTTATTGTTTTATATTTTTTGTGTGCTCTATTTCTAGTGTGAGAAAGGGGGGCCTGTAAGAAGAAAATGTCTAGGGCCCCAAAGTGGGTTAATCCGGCCCTGTGCTTATAAGGATAAAATTGCATTGAAATGAATGATTTTTATTCAAAATGTTATCCAGAATAACAAAAGCTTAAATTTATGTGAATTAAAACTTTTATAACAATTTTACTAATGGCATATTGGAAGTGTTCAGTTGGTGGCCTGTGGTTGTCTGCTTTTGTCTTTTTGTTCTTCTTACATTTATTCCTGTTCTTTGTTCTTTCCACCTTTGAGAACTTTCTAATCTCCTTAATTCTTCTTTCTTGGAGGCAAGGGCCACTTCCTAGAATCACCAACATAATGAATATGAGGTTACCTGAGGGCATCCAAGGTGAAGGAAGGTCACTTTTGAGCTGGTGAGAGAGAGGACTCGAAGAGGAGAGACCTCAAAGAGAGAGGACAATGAAAGGAAAGAGACATTACAGTATCCAGTGCCCAAGTAGATGATTGAAATCAAAACTTTGAACAGGAACCTTGAAATTCTTGGGTCAAAGTTAATGTATTGGAGTTGGCATTCAACTAGAACATCCAACAATTTGGATACAAGAAGAAACCCCTTAGACCGAGGATAAGAAGATGAAAGTGTATATTGTGTGTAAGAAGTTCCCAAGTGGCCCCTCACAACAATATAAGGATGATCGTACAATCCATTTGTACATACATCCTTCTGTTTTGTCCTATCTGCTATTTTTGCTACTTCTCACACCTGTCTTCAATCTTCCTTTCTTAGTGTAAGTTTAGTATTAAGAGTTAGTGATAAGAAATTCTTTTTGTAAGAGTATTCTTTATTTTTGTATGGATCATTATTATCATGATTCAGTGTGTTGTTTTCATATTTTTGTAATTGCCCTGCTAATGATTGGGTTTTGGGTGACTGCTGGATAATCCTTCATAGAGTTGGCATCCACTGTTTGAACCTGTATATAATTATATCATGCATAAATAAATTCAATTTTCTAATATCTACTATACACGTTTGTTTTTGTTGGGTGTTTGCTCAGTCAGCTAACGGAAACTCTATTGAACTTCACAGGCAATCATCGAATGCCAACCAAACTGTACATCATCATTTTAGGTCTTGCTGTAATAATACAATCATTAACTAAAATACAATTGATATCAAAAAAAGAATTATCTGAAATGTAAAAAATTATGACAATTTAGATGACAGTCAAATTTTTGTTCTTAGGAGTTTCTCTTTGGCACTTTAAAGCAAATGTATAAAACAATAATACAGGTAAAAATGTTGTGGGTACCACTTTGAAATGCCAAGCTCTTCTTTACCAAAGAAAAAGTCCTAAGAAAAGAAATTTGACTCATCTAAATTGTAATAATTTTTTATTTGGTGCAACTTTTTTACATTTCAGATGCTTTTGTTTGGATTTTTAACTGTTTGGAAAAATCCTTAAATGTTTAAGTTAGTGATCAGAATTTATTTATTATTATTAGTATCAGAATCATTTAATTAAAATAAAAGTACAGTAGAACCTCGATTATCCGGACTAATTGGGGATGAAGGTAGTCCGGATAAGGAAAAATCCGGATAATCGAAACAAATACTTTAATTTGTCTTTTAATTATAATACAACACATTTTCTTTTCAATGACATATCGGTAATATTAAAAGTAAATACTGTATTTGAATCGTGATCAAATTTTCAAGAAACAAACGTTCGTATTGCATTTGGACTACTACTGACCAACGCTAACAGACTACCTATTGTTTAAAAGGCCCTCTGGTGGCGCAAGAAGACGGATTTTATAAAATAAAAAGCAGTTGAAACTGCATTTTTATGAATAAAAATTTGACAAACTATTTATCGTTTTATGACGAGTAAAATTTTTTCGTCGCGTTCGCGGCTTTTAAGTAATGCATAAACCTTCGAGGCGCGAGGCCCTTCGGACCGCGAGGCATAGGCGGTGGCCCACGTCGTCCATGCCTTACGCCGCCCTTGGTCATAGAAATGATGTAATTTGAATATAAATTATTTATAAATACGTATGTCAAGTTATATTTTTATTACTACGTAAAATATATTTAAGAGTTTACGACCACTGTGATGGGTGAGACGTTGTTGAAACAAAAAAAGTTATGCATTCCATCACATACATAAACAGTGTCGTAATTCGCCAAGTGCAAATCAGCAAATTCGTAAAATTTTTGTTTATTTTGAACAATCCGGATAATCGAAAATCCGGATAATGGGGGTTCTACTGTATGTTGTATTCTCATTTTTGAAAATTAATTTTCATATTTTTCAGTTGTGTACAGAAAAAATATGTATATATTTGGTGGATATAACAGTATTGCTAATCAATTTTTCAATGATTTATATTTATATAAACCAAGTAAGTTACTTTATTCTTAAAAACACAAATTATTTTTAAAAACTGTTATTAAAGTATTATTTTCCGATAATTTCAAATTTTTTATTTTTAGATGAAAGCATATCTCTAGTCTATTATGAATTTTAATACAAAGCAGCATAGTTAGTATTAAATTTAAAATTGCTACAAACAATCTTAAGTTTAGGTCCAAATACAGAGTGATTCACTTGGAACTGAACACTTATCATCTCTGTATAAAATGAAAAGATGAGCATAAAACACAAATAGAACAATTCTTTATTTCATGATGAAGCAGTCACCAAGGTATATTTTATACCATATGTTGTCCAAATATGACTGTGCAGTTGTGAGGCATTTGAAGTAAGTGTTCAGTCCTGAACGAATCATTCAGTAGAATGTATGAACAAGCAAAATCATACAGGATATGCAGTAGTACATTTATAATATGATCATTCTTTACTAGTGATGGCTTGTGGCTGTTTAATATGTGCTGTCATGGGGCTGTGGCAGCAACCCTAATAGAATCATTTTGATTTCATACAGACATTCATATATGATTTTCAGTTATTTTCTGTTTTTGTGTCTGGAAATCATGGTATGCAATCTCTTAGGAGCAAAACCTGAATGGTTCATAGGACTATGACTTGTGTGATCTATTTGTTTTATTTTATTTTATTATTGTTTGTTTTATGTAATAATTTGTTTCAACAAGGTTTAGTAATGTGGTTACATTGTAATTAATTAATGTCTATGAGTTCCAATCAGAGCATTCCACAACACTGCAATTTTGTAAAATTCAAACTCTTGCTTTGAATGTATATATATATATATATATATGTTATGGCCAAAGCACGAAGTTTGGCCATTTTGCAAAGTGTGGCTGAGGCCTAAATGTACTTGAAATGATCAGTGTATATGTGACTTTGGCCAGCCAGGTAGTGGGAAATCTCTGGCCAAAATTCTATGTGATGATGCAAGACTGTGGTAGGCAGCACATCTTTCACTTCTGGTGTGATGGTGATTTACACATCCTAGGAAGGAAGGTGCCACTCTGTTACGATAATATTCCATAGTCTGCTGCTTTTTGGAAAAGGTCCTGCCTCCGTGACTTGTTATTATTATGACATAGCAGTTTCATTGTGAGTATTGTATTCCTCATATTTCTATAGTATTATGAATGCTTTCAATTCAAAGGTTAAGTCATAGGGCACATATAACGTGTTGTGAGGTATGTGTGATGACACCAGTGGCGTGCCATCATTAGAAGCGGTGGAAGTGCCGCTTCCCTCGTATTTTATAAAAAATAAATACATATTAATTTTAATTATATGAAAATAATCGCACAATATTTTATTATTACCACATTATGTATCTTATTACAAATTTACTACACATAAAAAAAAAAATAATAAGATTGCTATTGTATATTCGAATATTAGTGGCAGAGTGGCATTGTCAGATTTCAAAAAGCCAGATCCGCACATGCACTTTACAGAGCACCAACCTTACCCGGTTTAGCCGGTGGAAGCCTACGACCTTGGGTCGATAACGCTTCCAAGTCTATCCGGGACCGGTTCTGGGCTGTTAGCTGCCCTCTAGATATTTGGCCGATTACGTGAATAACGAGTAGATTTATAACTTAACCCAACCGATAAGAATTTACTGGTATGTTTTTATGATAGTTCTGTTTAGTTGCAGGAGTTTAAAAAAATCCATTAAAATATTTAATATTTTTATTCCGCTCTCCGATTTTATATTACTCACGGATTTTGATGTTAAACCAGTGATATTACGATTTCGTATATCCCGTCTTTAAGGGGATGTAGAAAAAACATGTATAATTCTTGTATAATGTTAAAAAATTAACCGTTACTTCGACAGCGTCATTTACCACTAAATTTAATGAATGAGAGAGATGCACGAGGTACAGAAAAAGCTCTAGAATTTATTTTCCTTAAATTTACGATTTATGTATCCGTTTGTCATAAAAATTTGTCTTTCCACTTTTTTCCCGAGACTACAAATATTCGAGTACAAAGTAACTGGTTTCGACTTATTTCTACTTAAGAAGTAGTTAAATAATTAAGCGATTAGGGAATTGGGGACATAAACAAAACCCTGATGAAAGAGCCGGAATATTACTTAAACAAAAGCTTAACCGAACCAATCTATAGCCGAGTACAGTGGGGACTGATTTCTTCGAAATACTGTATTAGATGTAATAAAGACAGAAATTTTTCCAGTTTGACGAGAGTGACCAAAAAGTTGTAAATTTTGGAAATTTCTGTGGACAACACATGGTCCTAAAACGAATTAGTTAGAAAACAAATGACTATTAAGTTTAACATATTTAGATTTTTACGGGTATGGTAAGAAACGTTTAAAATCTACAATAGCCCTGTCGCGTCCTTTGAGATATACTAATGATGCGACAAAAGAGGTATTTGACATTGACTGGTCTCGGCACCTTGGGAATTTGGCAGTCCGCGTGTATGCACGCACTGCAACCGTCTTCGATTCCATCCATTAGCCACTTGTAGGGAGCTATTTGACTAAGCGCATTGTTTTAAGATTTAAAAAGTAAAGAATATTTTATATTTTTGTGTACGTTTCTTTGCAAATTATAATTTTCTTTAAAAAGTATATTCATATAATTGAAGAATATTTTGTATGTACCAGTACATCCACCATATATTTTATTTCACCGAATAAGTTTTTATTATTTTATTTTTAATTGTAGCCCTTATATCGTGGCTAGCGATTCGGAATGTAATTGTGATATTAAAAATGCATTTAGAGAAGTCTACGGTTTTTACTGGCTTATCGAATAAACGATATGAATGGATGCTAGACCATCACTGACGTGCAATTGACTGATTGCCCCTGGATGTCGGCTTCTTACAGAAACACAGCTTCCCTATCATCAAATGTCACGGAACGCCCCTGGATGACATATTACTGGAAAGAACATACAGTAATTATGCTGAGGTTAATAAAAGATTGTTTGCTATGACACATTTTCCTTTTAAGGAATGTGCTAAATTAGCAACAGAACACAATTTACTGGGATGGTATTTCAATTTTATGTATTCATAATTGTTATTTCATAGACTGTCTCATGGCTACTTCTGACAGGACAAATATGCTGGGTGAAGTTGGAGTATACATAAATGCAGAACCAACATTTGATATGAAAATCAGGTTCTCAGATACTTTGAATAAGTTGCTGCAAGAAAAAGCAAATAATAGCAGGATCATCATCAGAAACAAATAATGCACTTTTATAGAGGATGTTAAAAGGCTAAAGCAAAGCAGAAAAAAGAAAGTGCTGACTATTGTTGACTAAGAAAATATGATGTTATTGAAGTTGACAACAAAGAAAAACTTATTGTGCCAGTAACAGGAGACAATGGCATTATTTTGTACTATGTGCATATAGAAGAATTATTTGACATACTGCATGATATACTGCATGAAAATTGGACATTGAGGTCACATACGGATGGAAAAGGGGCTAAAAACTAAGTATGAAACTGTCACCAAAGAAGTCATTACATTGTATCTCCGCTTATGCAAGCTATGTCTGGCCAAATTGTCAAATCCTAAGAAAGGTCTAATTTCTAAACCTTTGACATTTAAAGAATTTAACTCAAGATGCCAGCTAGATATTATAGATATGCAAAGTAACATGTACAGCAAATACAAGTTGGTTAAATTATTTTGATAATTGAGTTCAAAGTTTATATTATTCAACCTCTGAAAAGCAAAAGAGCAGAAGCTGCTTACCAGCTACTTGATATCTTCACCACTATAGGTGCTCCAAGTGTGCTTCAATCAGATAATAGGAGAGAAATCGCATACCAACTTATAAATGAACTAAAGAACATATGGCCTGAACTGAAATCAGTACTATACATAGAAAACCAAAGCCAAGGTTCTGTTGAATGTGCCAACCAGGATGTTCAGAATATGGTGATAACATGGATGCAGACAAATGAATCAGTACATTGTGTTGAGGGTCTCTGATTTATTCAATTCATGAAAAAAAAAACCATTCTTTTCACCAAGGCATTCAGCAGTCACCATATGAGGCCATGTTTGGCTGCAAAACAAAATTGGTTCTGAGTACAAATCTGCCCAGAGAGGTTGTCGATAACTTAGTTACAAAATGGAGGATGCTATAAATACAGGGACTGTCTCTGGAAATGAAGCTGCTGCCATGGCAGTGGAACCACTGGAAAGTCCAGACTGGTTGTCTGACAACAATGTAAAAAGATTCTATGTAGTGTGTGAAAAAGAGTGTAGTTCAGCCCATTCTTGTGCATCCTGTGGCAAAGATTCTATGCAATTTATGGAATAAGTAAAGAAGCAGACAAAGGGTACAGAGAGATGATTACTGTGCAGGCTATGTCATAATAAACAAGAAATCAAGAAGAAGAGGTCAGCAGCTCATGTTAGTTTGCAAGCTGAAGATGTAAAGATGCTTAAAAATTCAGATGCAAAATTCCTAGTGGCAAAAGTTGGAGCTACTTTTACCAGCTAGGAACAGAACATGTTCTCAAACAACTGTATTTCAGAAGTGAGTTTTCCATTCTGCACGAGAAACTGCTCACACTGGAATCCATGGGCATAGAGGAAAAGTTACTACAAACCATTGCATCTTCTCAATCAATGACAGGCAGCCAAGGCTACACTCAATGCAATTGCACTACTAAGTGCACAACAAATTACTGCAAATATAGAAATAACAAACTGATATGTAATTCAAAATGTCATAAAAGTTCATCTTGTAACAAATGATAATAGAGATTGATAATTTGCTATGATTTATAAGCTTAACACAGTATTAATTATAAATTATCAATATAAAGTATGAAATTATTCAGATCCACTAAAATCTGCTCATGACTTTTTTCTTCTGACTGTAAAATGGCATGGGGCGATCAGCCAAAAACTGGCTGGCCAAATCACAAAAATCAAGAAAAGGTTGGACATAGGCTGGCTAATTTAAAGTGATATTGATTGGCACAAGCGAATTGACATAATTGAAATCATAAAGATGCATCAAAAAGGGCTTGCTATACATATTTAAGGAAATTGCAAAATATAGAAATGCATCAAATAATTGGGTCTTTTCCATTCAGTAAAAGCCTGTAACACTGACAAATCACCTGGAGTTTATGGGATGACAATTTTCTGATTTAGTGGACACTTCCACTTTGGCCAATTTTGGGCTTTGGGCATTATATATATACATAAAATTTCATGTAAGTTCATTTTTTCTAATCAAACTTGTTTTTTTTTCCTTTTTTTCAAGAGGCATATAATTCTAATGGTTGAATTTTTATCAACAAATCTTAGTATGTTATTGCTTGATCAATTTTATTGTTTTAGGATGAAAGTTTTATCATTTATTTCCTTAAAAACTATTAAACTGTCAATTGATGTATTGTGTGAAGCAGTTTGAAGAGTTTCTTTCAGCTAAAATTACATTTATAGATTTTTTTTTTATTGTAATTGTATTTAAGTATAATGAAGAATGCCAGAATGCCAAAGAAGAATGTGATTATTGATTGAAAGAAGAGTTAAACACGTGTTACTGGCCAAAATTGTTTAATCCAGTTTGAGATGAAATTGGCTGAAGGGAAAGTTGTTTGACTGGTTTTGCTATACAAATTCCTCTCATAGTCTGAGGGTTAAAACAATTTTGTGTTGAGGTACATAAAAAATATCAACTCTAAACTCTGAAAATTTCTAAGGTTAAAATATGAAAAATAATTCAGAGAATTTAAGTTTTTAGTTTTTTAGATGGTATTTCATTTTGGTAGAACTTGTATTTCATATATTACAATACAGTGGGTGATCGGTTAACGAACATAATCCGTTCCAAGACTTTGTTCGCTATCCGAATTGTTCGTTAACTGATTATCGATTTACCATAGGTTTCTATGGGAATTTGATTAAGTGGTTCTGGAGACCCCCCAAAATAAAAAAATATATACTTTCTTACTACCTTTATTTATATATATTGATGATAATAAAAATACATACATACATGGTCTTGCGTTTTTATTAGTCGTGTTTTTTTTCTGTTTGAAAGGGTTAACCGATCACCCACTGTATATCAAAATTTCTTAAAATAAGATTTATCTTAAAGAAATATGTTATTATATGTAAATTTATGTTACATTATCTTAATAATTTTGTAAGTTTTTCTGAAGGAGGATGCTTTGTATAAAAATGTGCAATGTTTAAGAAAGATTATGCTAAATTTTAGTTTTCATGCTTTTTATTAAATATTGATTTTTTATAATGTAACAGTTATAATATAGAATTAATTTTAATTATTTTAACAGCTGATAACACATGGGAATTAGTAAGAACAATAGGAAAAGGACCTTCTCCAAGACGACGGCAATCTTGTTGTATTATAGATGATCAAGTGGTAATATTTGGAGGAGCAAGGTATTGAGTTTCAACATAGGATGTTTCAAAAATATTTAGTTTTTGAGATCCAATATTTCTCTAAATATTTCATAATCATGAAATTTTGTTAAAAGATCAAAATCTGGCATGCATGTGCTTAAAATATGAATTGTGTAACTGAGGGGGAAAAGGCTCCAAGGAATCACTTGGGGTAAACAAAAATTTTAGGAAATTTAATACTTTGCTAAGAAAATTATTCTGGCAACAAAAATATTAATATGTACACAAAAAAAAATGGAATGAAAGTTACAATTCAACAGAAATGTCCCACACATACATCAAACAAATCTAGACTTATTTCTAATTTAACTAGTTTTACAAGTAATAAGGCCCTAAGTGAAGACAAGAGTTTTTTTTTTTTAGAAGAAATTAGAAAATTTTAGATAGAAGACTTTAGGAAGAAAACAGTTGGCAAAATAGCACCTGTGTTCTTCTCTATTCAGTGAGGAGGGTAATTCTGTAGGGTTCTCTCCATACACATGTCACTTCTCTCTCCTAGGACTTGATCCACCCAAAAAAGATCCCTCTCTCATCAACCTCTGTCCTTTTATAAATCTTTGTCCCCTAGTTTTTCTGAGCATTCAGATGCTTCTCAGACTGTTTGTAAGAGCACGTAAGGTCAACCAAGAAGGGGAAGGCCAGATAGACAAAGGCTGGAAATAATAATCAAGAGAAAGGGGAAAGGAAGTTAACAAAACAAGGCTTGACCAAGCTAGAATTGTAAAAGATTTAAATATACAGTATGTAAATAGTTACCTCTAGTAAAAAAAACCTGAAAGTGAACTAAAATTTGACAAAATATCAATACAAAATACTTTTTTAATCCAAAGTGTTTATTTAGAACAAATGTTTTCAACCATATTTTTCATACTTTTTCAACTTAGCTTATTCATAAACCTGAAGCAGGTTTATGAATAAACTGAAAATACTTGTTTATTTATCTTAAATAAACCCAAGCTGGAAAAGTATAAAGGTATGGTTTTGATATTAGTTGCTCCAGAATTAGTACTTTGAACCATCTTAATTGGATATCATTAGATTCTCAAGTGAAATAATATAAAACATCATATATAACACAACTTCAAACCTATGACAAGTCCATCAGAACAGTGTATACTTCACTTTACAAATGTTAACTTTTTCTAAGATCTGTTTCAGGTTCAAACTTCTAAATGGAATGCTCCCAAAAACATCAGCTTGATTTAGATTTAAATTTGACCATGAACCAATTGGGTGTAACTGTTACCTATTGACATAATATAGATCTTAAAAATGCATCAAAAAGGATTTGCTATGTATATGACATGCATTTTTCATCTTTAAAGTTAATGCATTGTCCTTACTGATCTGTTTCAAAACTTCTAACTCCTTTATTTGGTTGATATATGTAGCACGCATTACAATGGTCACCTGATTTAAATTGGCTTGTATGTTGTTGTCATATGCATATGCAGATATAAGGCAATGGATTGCTTCCCATGCTTTATCATATTTGTGCTCAGTCTTGTTTCAGGATCTTTTGATGGAACTAATATATATTAAGTTCCTTTGAAACTTGTCATCCCATAAACTCCAGGTGATTTGTCAGTGTTACAGGCTTTTACTGAATGGAAAAGACCCAATTATTTGATGCATTTCTATATTTTGCAATTTCCTTAAATATGTATAGCAAGCCCTTTTTGATGCATCTTTATGATTTCAATTATGTCAATTCGCTTGTGCCAACGATAGATCTGACATCTAGCGGTATTAACGCGAACTACGTAATGGTGGCTGCTAAGGGTGTCTGATGCAGTAAAGTCTGTGGTCTGTTAGAATTAGAAAGTGTTCAAGCTACAATGGTAAATAATAAGTATTGCTGTGAATTTAGATGCAAGTCTAAAGATTCATCAAACTCATTACATATGCGCACATTCTCAAAAAATAAATTACATCGAAAAAAATGGGAAATAAAACTGAAGTTATCACTTCAGTTTCACCAACACCTAATTTTGCTGTACTTAAAATTCTTTTACTTTTACAAACGTTTTCAACCTATCTAATATAGACCATCGTCAGGTTTATTATTATAAATGTTCCAAAATGGAACGTACTGTTTTTGAATATTTTACATATTTAAAATTCAAAAAAATAATTTAACTTTAAAATAAATTGAAAGAAGTGTGTATATTAAATAAATAAAATAAATAAATAAAAAGTAAATAAAATGAATCAAAGACAAGTCTGTCTAAGAGGGATCACCATTGAAGTAAGACGTCTGTGTGTCACCGATTCTTTTTACTTTTAATTGGATGTTTGCGTTTTTTTAAAGGACTTTTTTTTACCTTTGGCGGCTGTTGCCATTAATGTGTATGTGTAGTTTGAAATGCAACATAAATGGTGATCCCTTTTGGACAGACTTGTCTTTGATTTATTTTACAATAATCCAGCCATCGGACGGAAAAATTCAAAAATTAAATAAACAAATAAAATATAGAAAACAAAGCTAACTAGAAAGAAACATGGTTTTGGGTGCTCTTTTATAAAAACTCGAGAATGGTCTATAAGAAAAAGAGCACCCAATATCTATAGCTTGCTACGGAACGATAAAGATAACATAAAAAAGGAAGAGAAAGCTGGGGTATATAAAATGAAAATATATAACAGAAAAAATAATGGGACTTAAAAACCCTTAAATCATGTTTCTTTCTAGTTAGCTTTGTTTTCTATATTTTATTTTAATTAATATACACACTTCTTTCAATTTATTTTGAAGTTAAATTACTTTTTTGAATTTTAAATATGTAAAATATTCAAAAACGGTACGTTCCATTTTGGAACATTTATAATATTAAACCTGACGATGGTCTATATTAGATAGGTTAAAAACGTTTGTAAAAATAAAAGAATTTTAAGCACAGCAAAATTAGGTGTTGGTGAAACTGAAGTGAATTAGTTGCTAAGAGGTGGATAGATATGAAGTTATCAGTTTTAATTATAATATTAGCCTTATCCTTAAACCTATGAAAGTTAGCCTATTTTCATATAATCACCCATGCCCTCTTCAAGGCCCTAATATTTCTTTGCGCAGGATTTGCCATCCACAACATCATTAACCAAGATACACGAAAAATATCCCTTCTTTAGCATTTCTTCTCCTTATAAGGCCTCTTTTCCGATCACCCACATCTTCTAAAATGTCATAAGGCGTAATCATCATGACTTAAACAACTATGAAATCAACTAGGATTAATGTCGGACACAAATGCGAATAAAACGTTTTGACTACAGAGAGAAAATACATTAAAAAGACAACACACATGTAACTCTCGTATGTTGCCACGCACGTTATACCCTTTGTGGCAGCCATTTTGGTTGACTCATACGCCACCGATATTTACTGGCACAAATGAATAAGAAATAGTCACACCCATTTGGTTGGTGGTCAAAGAAAAACAACCAATTACTAGTTAATATTAATAATAACAGTTCCACTATGTCATTGAACCAATAAAAGAACCACTCATTTTGGAAAGCGAATGTTTTCATCCAGTTAAAGACATGTTCAGGTTGGCATTCTAAATTTGAATCACATGTTTTTTTTGAATGGATCTTAATTTCTATGTTGCTGTTGCTGATTGGAGGATAGTTGATTTTATATACAGTGATATATAATATCAATATATATAATCACTTCAACAGAAACATCACATTCCATACAAGATGCTATGTACAACCTTTCCACCAACCAATGAGTATTTAAAAAATCAGTTAGAAATATTTTTACAGTAATTTATTTATATGAATAGTAGGTAGGCATACTGACATATAAATTTGTTCTTATAATTCCATTAAAAAAGGTTCACATAGACAATGCCTTGACTCCCTTCCTCTCATTGTATACAACAATGCACATTTTTGTTACCCACATCCCTTTAAACTGTACAGGTAAATAATGGACTCATTGTAATGCATTTTCAGAATTCTAATTTTGAGGTTATTTAAAAAGCATTAAACACATCATTTCACATTTTTGAACAATGTTTTTAGTATAAAATTTAATATAAAAATTTATTATTTAAAATGTTATATTTTAAAAATTACTGTTATAACTATAACTATCTAACTGAAGCAGAACATAATCTGAGTACTTAAAGGAATAATGCGTGAATGTTTGTTTACAGATAACAAAAATGTGATAGTAACCAATGATTTGTATGTGATAGAACAAATATTGAATTTATTCTGTTACTGTGATAATTAATGTAAATAAATTTACAAAACAACTTTGTTATAATGAACAAACACACTGACAATAAATATGTCAAACATGCAAAATTAAAAGCTTTGAATTAATGCTAAAAAGCAAAAAAATTATATATAGGCATATCAAAGGATACAGTTATAGTTTAAGTTTATATTTTTATAATTAATTAATAACAACAACTATGATTCAAGAATGCTATTTTTTTTATAAGATACAATAATTTAAGTAAAAATTTTCCATGAAAGAGTCAGTCTCCCAGATAACCTCCATAAACTTTTTGATTGGATCTTCAAGCACTAAAAGCAAAGTAACTGTCCATCAACAAGGAGGTATCTGGAAGGAGGATCTTTGTCCCTTCTCGTTATTTCATTCAAATTTTTAAAATATCTGAGCTTCCTGAAAAGAAAGAATCACATCCAATGCTCCATACAAGGAATCATCTCTGACATCACTGTCCTTCCTAGTCTTTGTGAGTGCCCATTAGTCCTTCACTCATTCCCAATCCTCAATCAGAAATAAAAAAGATGTGCACTGTTTCATACAAGAGAATGTATCTCAGCTGTCCAGACTTTCACATATTCTACCTGATCTACCAGATTCCAGTCTCTCTCTAAATGAACTATGTAATGGTGATTGTATGATGATGATTTTTGTTTGCACAGAAATTCATAATGTAGATGTTGCTGCTTGATTGTTAGCTAGATGCTTTGTAAAGCAGCTAATTTGTTTGATTAAATGGTTTGATTTGTTTGTTTTGTAATAAAGCTAACTAACGTTCAGCTATTTACAGAGGCTAAACCAAATCTCACTGGATTAAATGACATTTCACATTTTCTAATATGGCTGGACAAACAATTAGCTGCTTTACAATGAGGTGTTAGATAAATGGCCATTTGTCATATTTACTTCAGATTCCTACCACTTTGAGTTCTAAGCAACATTGCCAATTTGACTGCCAAAATGGGTTACTCTTGATGATATATCTGAAAGATCAATACTTTTATGAGAAGCCTTGACTAACAATTCATTATTTGATGGTCAAGGATTTCAAAAATGCTCATGCAAACCTGTGAAAAATCAGTGCAAAACTAAATAGATGTCCAGGTTTTAAAAAGAAAGTTCTTTGAAGATCTAAATGCCAGTCTAGTTTATCTTGCACTAACAAATAATACATCTATTATTATTATTATTTTGTAACTATTTAAAATCATTACATTTCTTCAAGTGTTTTCTCATTTTTATAATTAAATTTTGCACTGTTTAGTATGTCAAACTATCTACTTATGTTCTGTTTGTTCAGCTTTGGTAGGTTTGCTTGGAGGGTTTAATCAGATTTCTTTGAGGAGGATTTTGGCTTATTCTTCTATTATGCGATTTTACAAAAATTATTCTTGTAATTAAAAACATATATTGTTATTAGGTAGTTTAAGTTTATGTTCAAGATTTTTAAATGACCAATGAACAATTAATTAGTTACTATAAATAATTATATTAACTTATTTTCTAAAAGCAGAAAATAATTCAAAAACTGTACTCTTTATAATTTTAAAGTTTATAAATATATTGCATAATCAAAATTATTTATGTTTTTTACTTCCTAATGTTTTTGTCCCTAACTTTACTGAAATGTAAATTATTCATTAAAAAGGCTGACATTTCCACCACTTTACAATACAGCTAAACATGGTGGGCCACCTTGTAAAACACAATGTAACAAAATCCGGCTGAATGTTAGTTAGCTTTATTATAAAATGGTGCCATTTAATCAAACGGCTAGATGCTTTGTAAAGCAGCTAAATTAACAATCCAGCTGCAAAATAGACAATATAATCAATTAAATTAAAACTTGTTATTTAAAAGAAAGAGGAAGTGAGACAAGAAACCAACTAACATTTGTGTTTTCTCACACATAAAGAAGAGCAAAATCCTCACTTTCATGGTCAAATTTGTCAATTCTTCAAAAACCCTATTGTGTCATCCTGATATAATCAAATGAGTGCATCTCAACTCAGTAAATTAAACTTTTACCTTTTGAGTCCTAATTGTGAGGCCTTAAGGTTTTGAATAAAAAAAAAAAAATGACACAAAAACATTTACAGTACTGATAATTTTGATTTCATTTGTAATATTTTGATTAATAATACATATGCAAAATGTATATGTACAGTATTTTATTTCCTGTGCTGTTTTTTTTATTTATTTTGAATAAATTTCAGTCTAAACATATTTGTTATAATTATTGAAACTTTAAAAAATTTATTCATGTTTTGAAAGAAGAAAATGGACATAGCTTCACACTGTCAAAGACAGAAGCTTGCACTCTCTTGCAATTCTGACTTTCACTAGGTTTTACTATATTTATTTTTAAATTCAAATAGTGTTTAAAAATTATATTTAAGCTAAAAACATTAATTCCTTATATTTCAATTTTAATATTTCAGTCCTAAAACATCACCTTCTGCTAAATTTTCACTTGAAACAAATAATTTTATTGATAAATATTTGATCTATCAAGATGATATTTTTATGCTGAATTTGTGTGAGTATTGCATTGCTTACTTTATGAATGTTTGTTTTCATTAAAATATTCAATATACTTAAACTTTTGTTTTTCATATTATTTTCAGTTTTACCTTTGAAAACATTGTCTATGATTAAAATTATTAATGAAAATATAGATATTAGTAAACTTCCAGAGTTTCTGAGGTATGTGCATGCATACATGCAAAATTCAGTAGAATTTTAATAAAAATTATTCAATATAATTTATAATAATAAAAATACATAATATATCACTATAATTAAAAATGATAGTTTATAGAGTTCAATATTAATTAATTCAATGATAATCTTATACTTTATCGGCAAAAAACTTCTTGGTATATATTCATGGTGCTGCAAGTGGCTCCTGTAGATCCTCACTATGGTTACTATTTACTTATATACAATTTCTTTTTACAAATCTAAGATAAATTTACTACTTACATAGTATGAGACATACGTAATATTTTTGTGACTAAGTGTAAGTTTAACTTGTAACTTAAACAGGCAACTGAAAGCCAAGGATATATTCATGTGAACTGAATTTTAAATAGTTTGTAGGTTTGCAGTTGTGATACTAACCTCTTACTATTAAGTATAAAAGAAAAATTAATTTTTCTCTTGCATATCTAAATACATGTTAATTTCTAATAAACCTGTTTTCTCAAAGTCTCTTTTAGCTAGGTTAGGCATGTAGTTATATATTTTATGTTAGTCTTTTAATTAATAGTGTTAACTATAATAATACTTTTCCAATAGAATATATGGGGCTCTTGTGTATTTCTGATAAGGTTTGGCCACCCTTGGTATATATATTTATTCAAAGATGATCTATATGACATTTATGCTTGAAAATTTTAAGAAATTATTATAATTATGAAATTCTTTAGTAATAATTTCCCAATTAATTTTGGTGTTTTAAGCAAGCAATAATAATTTTGTATTTCCTATATTAGATTTAGGACATTGTGATCCAGACATTTCAAGAGTGATTAATTAAAATTTAAATATTGTGACCCAAATATTAATTATAGAAATATATTTCTAAAGAAAACCTTTATAGAAAGTAATAATGATTGTTTAACATTCATACAGTTACAAAAGGATTCTTGTAGGATGCTTGTAAACTTGGCTATTGGAATATTAAAATGTTTATCAGTATAATATATATGATGCTTTTAAATGCTTAAGTAATTATCAGTATGGTTGTATTTGTTAAATATCAAATGAACAGCAAGACTCCTTTATTGGATTATTAAGGCTAAATAATTACTAAGGAAATGGGAGATTCTATTATACTAACTAATATGGACAAGAGATGTTAATTTTATTTTAAAAATATCACAATATGTGTATTGTATGTATAAAAAAAGTGTTTATTTTGGCTTTGACACTGACATTTTGACAATTTAGCACAATACTTATAATTAATTTTGAAAGTTGTTCTTTGCTCAATGACTCATCATTACCACATCAGTAAGTGTAAGAGATTCTTTGACTACCTGTCTGATGAGTTTACAGATTTTCAAAAATATGTTGCAGAAAATTTGGAATAGTGTAAAATACTTTCCCATAACTATAAAAGGCAACCAAAAATTTTCAGAATCTACTGTAATTTTGCATGAGGTAGGTTGCCATCTTGCAGAGATGGCAGCCTACTCATGCAAAACTACTTAGTAAAAATTACTTAGTAATTTCTTACTTATTACTTAGTAGTTCCTGCAAAATTATTTAGCCTTAATAGGCTAAATAATTACTAATTTGCAGGAAGCAATCTGGCTGTTTGAAAAATAATCTGTAGCACAAAATATCAATGTACTTTAGAATACTAAAAGTAAAGATTAGAGCACATATTGTTCTAAAAAATTTATTTATAAAAGTATACTAATCTTATACATTTTTTTTACAGAAAAGAAATTTTTAAATACTGTAAAAACCAACATGAATGCATTTGATATATTATGTTCAGTAACTTGAAGAAAGAAAATATCCTTTATTTCAATAATAAATATATTATATATAAAGATTGAAATCTCTATTATTATAAATAATTTATTCATGTGGGAAACTATATTAAAAAATAATTTTATTGAAAACAAATTAATAAAAAAGTTGATGTATTTTACAAATGTAAAAATGTTTTTTTTTCTATACACACCGAAATTATTCAATCATTAACATGCATCAACTTTTAATAAAAATTTTCAACAGATGGTTTTTATAAAAAATATCAATTATTTCCAACCTGGTCCATGATATTCTTGAATCAGCAACATTTTATCAACTATTTTTCCATTCTGCATCAAAGTGATAAATTAAAAAAATTGGAAAAAATTTAAGGATGGGCAAAAAGAAAAGAAAACTTACTTTATCATCTGAAACTTGTTCTAAGTAGAGATGAGTACCGTTTAAAATATGAAGTCTAGAATAACCATAATCTCCATTACGTAATGCACTCCATGCAGCTGGATTTTTCACAAAAGGATCATGGCGTTCTTGGCATCCCTGATAAAAACTTAATTACTAAAACAGCAAATAAATTAAGTGAAAGTAATATTTTCATTTAACTTACTGCAGATCCAGTAATAATGTGCACAGGTGCCTTAGGATTAGTGTAAGGATATTGATAGCTGCCGTTATAAACCTGAAATAAAATAACAATGTGTTAAAATATTTTATCTCCAAAAACTGATAAACATTTAACCTTGTTATTCATAAATATTAATTTTTAAATTGTTTATAAGAAAGTTTCAAAATTATAATGAATATTATCAATGTATCAATCATCTAAAAACTAAAAAATAATTTATATACACAGTAGAGCCTCGATTATCCGACTCAATTGGGGACTGGGGTTGGTCAGATAATTGAAAAAATCCATTATTAGTGTAGTATATTATTATATCTCATGTAATTAGTATATTAGTATATCATTATTGACCTACTTTGCATTGAATTTTCATCGATGTTAAGCCTAACAAAAATTTTTTAAAATAATAATCGTCGCTATTGTATCGTTAAAAATTAGAAAATTAAGCCTCGTTTAAACACTGGCTCCCTTTCATGGTCAAATGAGTGTTGCCAGCTAAAACACGTAAAAATAATATTAAAGTAGCCAAGACAGCCAAATATTGTAGCGCCACATCACTAGCGGACATTTGAAATTTGCCGACTAGGACGGTCGGATAATCGAGGCTCTACTGAATAAAATTATAGTCAATTTATTAATGTGTCATATTTTTGTACCTTTTAGATATTTTATCACATATCATTTCAATTGTAATCATAAAATAAATAATGATACTTTTCATAAAACATTGTGATAAGTGTAATTCTATATTGTTATATTATACTACCACTGAAATATGACAAAATCCACAGCAGAAACCATTGAGGAAAAATACTTAATTGAAAAACTGAAGCAAAGTAATTCTGTGCAAACAGAAAGAATATGATAAATTTTAAAATGTTTAAATTTACTATAAGTATATGATTATAAATGTTTGTTGTTATATTTGTGGATGAAATATTGATTTAAAATTACAATTTACTAAATATAATAGAATATGCTTATTGTAGTCACTGACTCTCACCTATTTTGATAAAAATAATTGGCTGTTAACATTTAGTGGAGTAAATAAGATCACAATGGAAATTTTGATTTTGATTTAACACATTCTTTTAATTATAATTAAAAAATTTATCAAGTTACACATTATTTGCCAGATGAATTACTAATAATGATTCTTCTTCTTTAATGCTGCCGAATGGCGTTTGCGACTTCGTTTTGATATTGTTCTCTGTCTAGCACTGTGTGAACTTGTGTTGATGTTATCTAGCCAGGCCGTTTTTGGTCTACCTGGACGTTTCTTGCCTTCAATCCTGCCCTCCAGGATGAGTGGCAGTAGATGGTATTTTTGGTAGTTCCTAGCAATGTGGCCTAGGTATTTGCATTTCCTGCTGATGATGGTTTTGATCAGGTCCCGGTCCGTGTGCATGTACTGCAAGACCTGTGCATTGGTTATCTTGTCCGTCCACGGAATTTTCAGCATTCTTCGGTAGAGCCACATTTCGAAGGCTTGGAGCTTTTTTGTAGTGGCTGCTGTTAGAGTCCAAGTTTCTACACCATAGAGTAGAATTGGCCAGATGTAGCATTTCAATGTGCGTAATTTGAGCATGATATTCAAGCTTCTGTCGGTAAGGAGTGTTTTCCATTTGGTAAATGCCTGCCTGGCTTGTTCGATTCTGCTCTTGATTTCGGCCTCATGATTCAGCTGGTCATCAATTAGTACTCAAGATACTTGAAGCGGTGTCCTGCTCCAACTTTTCGTTATTTAATTTGATCGTGATTTCGCTAGGAGTCCTGCTGACCTTCATCACCTTTGTTTTCTTTTTGTTGATTCGTAAACCCCATGCTTGACTTTTTGTGTTCACTTCATTCAAGATAGTCTGTAAATCTTGTTCGGAATCCGCTATTAATGCTGTGTCGTCGGCATATCTTAGGTTATTGATGTAGTGTCCATTAACTTTTATGCCGATCTCCCTGTCGGCCAGTGTTTGGTCAAAAATCATTTCCGAATAGATATTGAAAAGAATGGGAGATAATGGGCAGCCCTGCCGGACGCCTTTTTGTATTGGGATTGGGTCTGTCAGGTCGTTGTCATAGCGGAGCTGGGCTGTTTGATTCCAGTAAAGAGTGGTTATAAAGTTGATATCGTTTGTTTCAAGCCCAAGTTTTCTCAGTTGATTAATTAGGCGGCTGTGGTCCACTGAGTCAAAGGCTTTCTCATAGTCAATAAAACATATGTACACTTCTTTTTGATGTTCATAGCACCTCTGTAGCAGTATTTTTAAGCAGAAAATTGCCTCTCTGGTGCCCAGCCCCCTGCAGAAGCCAAACTGTGTGTTTCCTAGTGCACGTTCGCATTTACATCTTATTCTTTGCTGAATCACCTTGAGGAAGACTTTTAGCACCTGGCTCATTAAACTGATCAGCCTGAAGTCTTCGCATTTTCGGCTGGTAGCCTTTTTTGGTAGGGCCACAAAGATTGATTGGAGCCAGTCAGATGGAATAACATTGTTGTTGTAGATTTGATTGAACCATTTTATTAGTTGTTGTTGTAGTCCAGCTGCTTCAGCAGTTTCACGTGAATCTGGTCAGGTCCACAGGCCTTGCCTGGCTTTGCTTTACTAATGGCATGTTCCACTTCAGATGTTAGTATGTGGAGATTGTCTTCCTGCACTTGTTGCAATTCTGCTGGTTTTCTATTGGCACGAAACAGATTGTATATGTAGTTCTTCCAGGTGTCAATGATTAAAATAAGTAATATAAATTTAATATTTAAAGCAGAGTACTATGATATTATCAATCTTATGTTAAGGCTAATGGCAAGAAAAAAAAATAACTATGCTTAAATAGGCATTTTTGAACTTTGTCTTCAGGTAATATCAGAATTTCAGTTAAAGTTTTACATAATTCTCGTAACAGTTAGTTAAAATACGTAACATGTTTCAATAAATATCTGATTATAGTAAGCAGATTCTATTTTAATAAAATCTATTATATTTTATTTTTAATACATATTGAAATGATTATTTTCTATAGGTGAGTAAGTGAGGTTATTTTTTATTTTTACTTTTTTGTTTTAACAAGATGAGTTAGTTTGTTAATTTATTTTTTTTTACAAAAATAAGGATACCATCAAAAGAACAAATATTGCAAATTGAAATAAAAATTGAAGGAAAACATAAATGTCCAATGTGTAACTCCAAATTAATATTCATTACTGGGATGATGTGTGTTTTGCATTTACCTGTGTTGTTTGTATTGAGTTTAATCTGCTGTTGTATTCTTGTGTTGTTGATCTTTGTTCTATCTGTGCATGTTGTGAATTTGGCCTGTTGGAATCCTAAATATTTGTTGACCTTCAGTGGATTCAATGATGTTTCCATTTCTGAATACAAAATCCTTTTCCTATGTGAAGTGTTCTGCATTTATCTAGACCAGGCCTGGCCAACAGACGGCCTGTCACGTTAATTTGTGTGGCCCGCTAAGTGATTTTATATATATCTATTAAAACTTTTGTTTCTTGTTATGTGTATACCAAAAAAAATTAAATAAATCAAAATTTGCATGTATCATTGTTATAATGTGCAAGTGTGACTATGAACACCAGTGCTATATTTGGTACTTATGAATCTTTGTCCCAGAAGATGGCACCACCCTGGTGACCAACATCTCAACTAGTAGCTGCATCCCCTAAAGCAGTGTTTCTCAACCTCTAACGAATCGTCGCCTCCTTCAATAAAACCCTTCACTTCAAAATTCTGATGTCGAGGGCCAAGGCTAACACCAAATTCACACTGCATTGAATAGATTAGTGACTAGTATAATGTTATTTGTTTAATTATTCTTGATATAATGTTTTACTATATCGCCTAGAAAATTGTTTTTCGCCCCCCCAAAATATAAATTGTTACTAATCGCCCCCTCAAGATGGAAAAACACCCACATGGGGGCAATACGCCCCCGTTGAGAAACACTGCCCTAAAGTGTGGCCCACCGTAATGTTATGCATCATCAAAGTGGCCCATGAAACAATTTGAGTTGGCTAGGCCTGATCTAGACCAAATTCCATTTGAATGTAAATGGAGTGCAAGTAACTTCTAAAAAGGTACTTTAGCTGTGCTTGTACAGTTGCATGGTTTTATGTCATCCAGGTACTATATATGAGATAATATGTATTGTGTTAGTCTGTTGCATTTTATGTTGTATCTGTACTTAAAGCTGCTGTCAAATAGATTAAACAGCACTAAGGTCAGACAAAACCAAAGTGGAATTAATAGGCTTCCTAGAAAATGCCTCAACTTATGTGTATTTGGTTTGTTTTAAATGCATGTCAAGAAGTGTGAGGTATAGTATTGTTTGCCAGTTTTCATTGTTTTCTAAAATGTAAACAAGTGTTGGATGTATTTTCATTATTGTGTATGTTTAACTGTCAAATTCTTTCTTTTAAGTATGTATGCTATGTGTAAGTTTCTGGTGTTTGTATGATTTTTGTAGTTATTATTAAAAATTGTCTAAAAATCAGATGAGAAAGGTGAATATTTATTATTATTTAGATTGAAATCTCAAATTACACAGTTACTATACTTCTACATTTCAACTACAGTAATACCCTGACTTACGCTACCCCGACTTACTTGATTTTCAAATCTCGTCAATTTGTCTTTTGTTTGAGTGCCACGCAACCCTTGATTACTCACTCCCCCGACACTATTGTTCAGCTTACATGTTCGGATGTGTCGTGCGGAATCCACACATAGCTACAATTTATTTTGTGTTATTTATTTCTGTTTTTTGTTATATCTACGGAGACTCGAGAGACTCTACTATGTCATCCAAACGAAGTAGAACTAATTCTTCCGCATCAAACAAGAAAAGAAAAACTTTCTCTTTGGAATGTAAAGTTAACATTGGGTATGTTCGTAAAGTTGAACGAGTTAAGCAAGAATGACGTCATCGTTATTCCTATTTCGTTAGACTTTTTGAACGATTTGTTACTAACGCGTTTAACTCGTTTGACTTTACGAACGTACCCATTANGAGTTAAATGAGAATGACGTCATTGTTATTCCTATTTCGTTTGACTTTACGAACGTACCCATTAATAAAAACTTCGATACAAAAATGAAAATTTGTGAATTGGCAAAGAAGTTTGATCTACCGGAATTGTCGGTCAGAACAATTATAAAAGGCAAAGAAAAAATTCTCGAAGCTGTGAAAAATGCTCAATCCTTAAATTCAAGCATCATTCGTAAACGTCACGGTATTATCGCTGAGATGGAAACAATGTTAAAATTATGGCATAATAATCAAGTAAATGTGAAAAATTGTAAAATAATATAGGCCTAATTTGTTATACATATGTATTATCTAGAAAAAAATGTTTAATAAAATCTTAAATTATTGTTTTCTTTAGTCTCCGGCCTCAATTAAAAATTATTTGTATGTATTTATATGCAAAATTATACCCCAATTTACACGAATTCGACTTACGCGGTTACCGCTCGGTCCCACCTATCGCGTAAGTTCGGAGAATTACTGTATAATATAACTTATTATATAATAGTTTTAATAAGTTTATTATATTAATATTACACAAATTCTAAATTATTTATAATTAGATTTCTGTAATAAAATCATATCTAAATCATGAATAAAATAAAAAATGAGTCAGAATAAAATAGAATTTCAATCTCCTTTATAAATTTATAGAGAGAAAAAAATCTCAGAATATTAGAATCTAATAATAAATAAGTACTTACTGTTCTGTTGTACACTGGCCACAGTCGTTCATAAACATGCTCATGAGCCCATATCATTAAGTCTACATGATATTTATAAAACAGATCTTCTAATCCGTATGTATGAATTATAGGAAAACCTGTACGAATCTGAAAAATATTTTTAAAATTACAGAAGTAAGTTTTTGTAGTTTAAGTAACTTATTTTATTTTGTAACTAAAATTAAAAAAAAAATTATTATCTGTTGTAGTCATTTATATTTCATTTTACAAAAGTCTTAACAGAAATAAACTTTTGAATTACAGTAGGCCTCACTTATGTGACCACCTAGATGGTATTATGAAAAAACTGGCGTACACAACTAATTAAGAGTATTATACTAAATACTAAAAATTTAATACAGATTATAAAAGTAAACAATAAATAATGCATATAATATTACACATTTCTTGCAATATACAGGAATTCAAACTTTCATACGCTATTACAGTAGAGCGTCAATTATCCGAATCAATTGGGGACTCGGGTTGTTCGGAAAATCGATTTTTTGGATAACCGATTACGTATGAAAAAATACATTATTAATACAGTATATTAGTATATCCCAATAATAGTATATTAATATATTCCATATTTAAATTTTTCTCCATTGCATGTCGCTTCACATTGAATTTTTGTCGATGTTAAGCCTAACAAAAATTTTTATAATAATAATCGTGGTTATTGTATCATTAAAAATTATTTATTTATTTTGTACAAACAAAATAAATATATTGAAAACTATAAAAACAAAAAAATTATACTTTAGAAGTTAATCTAGTATTAAAAACGTTCGATTTAGCATGACACAGTCCTACTGGAACGCTTTCGGTTAACAGATGTTTTGGTTGATCGACATTCAGATAATCGACGCTCTACTGTATTTAGAGTTACTACAATATCCTTATGGTAGTAACCCTAAATAATAGTGTATTGAAATAAAGAGTACGTATAGAGTGAATGCAGTAGGATTCATTCAAATATTATACAACACTTAATTAATGAAACTTTAATACCCATAGACAGTTTCCTTATGTTTATGGAATGGTAGTAAAGATTTTATTAAAACAGGAGAATTTAGAAAAACTATTGAATGAAAGTCACTAGATATGTAGAAGTGTCAAATATGGAAAAAGGTTCATTCAATGAATGTTATGAATGATGTATCAGTGAGATAGACCAATCATTGCTTATTGGACTTAATTTTCAAATTGCAGACCTATATATTACAACTATTGTCTATCTGTCCTTCATTAATCTCAAGAACAGAGTTATTTAGATGAAAATTGAGACCAGACATGGAAAGCATAGGGCTGGAGGCCTGATTAACTATATATGAACTTCCAGTCTGGACTGGAAGTCATGTGATTTGAATTCAAAATTTTATCCAGAATCAAGTTTGACTCATGCCAGTCATCTATCTGTTGTTATCAGAAGTATGTGATGTATAGGGACAAGACATCACTAAAATTCAAACCAAATATGGAGAGCTTAGGGATGGAGACCCCAATTAACCATATACAAAATTCCAGTCCATACTGGAAGTCACTTTCATTTTTTAAATTAAAAGATGATTGTCATAATGCTGGGCTGCAATTTTTAATGTCACAATAAATAATTGCTTGTTTACAGCTATATTTTTACAAAATACACAGAGATTTTGTATAAAAATATTGAACAAATATATAATCATCTTTCTTCTTACTAAATTCTAGAGATGAATTTAATTTATCAAGTGTAAATGAAGATTATTTGATCATACTTTGTTGGAGAGAACTCAGCAAACTTCCAAAACTATAGCAACAAAGCTCAATTTTTTAAAAGCACTTTTAGCAAAGTAAAAGATGGTATTGTGAGTATTCTTAATGTATTATTTAAAGTCATTCTTCTTGACCTTGACTTTGTTACTGGATTCTATGGCAAAAGCCATCAGTTTAAAGGAAAGCTGCCTTAGAGTAACATTCATAGATTATTGAAATTCAGAGGGACTAGTAGTATTTTTAAAAACTTTTAGAAATGGAACGATTTCTGATTACTGTGAATCCTATATACTTTCAAAAAATTCGAAGTCACCCAAATAACTTTTGAATGAGGATATCTAGAGCTACAGGATATGGTAAAGTGACCATACACTACCAGATGAGATCAATAGCAGTGCCACTAATAGTAAAATTTTCATAATTTTCAAGAAACTTTCAAATTATAAAAAGAAGTAAAGTAAAAAGTTGCAGAGCATTATTGAATTAGTAGGAAATGAATGCCATTTCCTACTAATTCAATAATGCTCTGCAACTTTTTACTTTACTTTTTTCTTTTCAAAGAAACAAAACAAGTGATGTAAATAGAATAGTTAGATAATAGTACTCTTATAATGTAAAATGATGATGTGATAATGTGCAAATGAATGTTGATCATATAGTCCTACAAAGAATATCATGTCAACAAAAAGATAATTGCAAACTATATAAAAAGAGTATGTATTACTATATGGCAAATGCAGAAAACATTAAGAAGGTTGCATGGCCTTGTGATTTCCTACTGCCCCATATCTGACTTTGTGAACAATTTCTTAGCTAAGATAGGCAGTATAGCCTCAAAAATGATCCACCCAATGGCATAGGTATGCATGTACAGTACAGTACAGCCCAGCCTTCTAATTGCAGTATCCTTTCTGTGAAATGCCATTTCCTACTACATTAATGAGAAAGTTGCAAAGTATTATCAGTTTTTGGCTATAATAATGACCAGGGATTCTTCACAGTGTGTGACTTCCAATTGTTATATCCATCAATTAAATCTGAGCCATTTAAGTCTTTTAGAGATTTCTTACTCAGTCACTTTGGTAATGCATCCAGTCATCACTCAACATCTTAGAACTGACAGATATTCTGTGCCACACCTCCTTTACCTTTGATGGGTCCACTTATCTGCAATATCAAAGTGTCCCAATAGGAAGCCTGCTATTGGGTACATTGTATGAATTAGTCATCTATAAACTGGAACACTCCATCCTCTCTAAATGACAATAATATGGTTCTCTACCCGATACATAGACAACATCTGTATTCTTTGGCACACAGAACCTGACATACAGATGGAACTGTATGACCTTAATAATAATCATTAACAGACTATATCTCAAATTGGAACAGCATAGCTGTGAAGTGGTGCACTTCTTAGACCTAGACATCAAATTGAGAGATGGATGAATAGCTACAGGGGTTTACAGAAAACCAATCTATCATTTTGATTCTTTGAACCATTTTGATTCCTTCAACCTCACATGATTCTGTCCTGTACAAGATGGCTGCTTTTAACTTTTTGGTTCGTAGAGTATTTTTGCACATCTCCAATCCATATAAAAGGTTGTGAGAATTACAAACTATCGCCAACCAGGCAGTACAACATGGATATTCTAAGAATTCTTTTAGGGGATCATAGAACATCACTCCTCTCATGCACATCTTGGGACCTGCAATCCACTTCAATCTGAAATGTACAAGGTGGTCACGTACAATGCAGCACTAGTACCTATTTACAGAGAGATAGCATGCACCAATAACATCAAGTGGTCTACAAAAGGAGTCCCCATATCTTTTCTTTCCTCAAAAATGCCAAAGACAACCTGTTTGGCTACACTCCAGGCATATACTCCTCCTTGACCAACCATAGAACCAGAAATGAATTGGAGTACATTGGAGCTACTAGAAGACAGATCTTAATGTACTTTCTCACCACACCGGGTTGTATATACTTCAAATAAACAACTATCTACAATTAACCAGTAACCAGCGTAAAATTCTTTAAAAATTGGCGAACGTTTCGACTCCCCTCATGGGTTCTTCTTCAGGCTTACTTTTTAGAAAGGACTGTCGCATAACCAAAAAGAATACTACAGATGGTTAGCATCAATTAAGATCAGTACCGCAAAGGAATCTAACGAGGTTATACAGATGAAACATAAATTGAATAGAGCTTCCAAATGGATAAAGAGTAATGACATTGTTTTGACCAGAGCGGATAAAGCCAAAGTAATGGTGTTAATGAAAAAAGAGACGTATGAGAAAGGATTAATTGAATACCTCATTAATAGACAAAGGGAGAGCTCCTTTAAGTTGGAAAAGTTATTACATAACAGGCTATCCACGCACTTAAAAGAGTACCAGTTTAAGATAGCAAGTCCAATGGAGCTTTTAAAAGAACTTAAGAAGATAGACACTCCCAATTGCACAATGGTATTGGATTTTAGATCCTTGTACCCATCAATAAAAATTCAACCATGTTTTTGTGCACTCAGGGACTTCCTTCTTTCTAGCATAGATGACACCACATTGCACTGCAATATACTCGAGTTAGTGCATCTGGCTTGTTACAATTCCGTATTCCAATTCAAGAGCACTATATATGTGCAGAGAAGAGGTGTGCAAATGGGAAGTCTGTTATCTGGAGATTTATGCGAAATGGTGATTAGATTATTAGAAAGCAAAGTCCTTCCCTCCTTTCTCCCAAATATTATCCTGTACGGAAGATATATCAACGATATAATTATCCTTTGGAAAACTGAGCAGGATATAAAACATTTTATGGAAACAATGAACAACAACCCATATGGTCTCGTAGTGGAACTGGAACAACATAGTATGGATAAAGTACACTTCTTGGATATGGTCATAGATATGAAACAAAGGGCAGTATAAACTTATGTCTACAGAAAACCTACAGCGGTATCAATGTATATACCATATGAATCATGTGACCCATTTTCTTATAAGATAGCGGCGTTTAGAGCATTAGTAGAAAGAGCTTATACGCCTTCTTCCACTACCCAAGCCCTCCAACGAGAATTAGATTACATTAGGAAGATCGCTAAAGAGCATGGTTACAGCAACATTATAAATGGATTGTGTAAGCAGCACCGGCATTTACAGAATCTTGTAGAAGAAAACGTAGAGGTACAAAATAATGGAAATGAGGATAGCATAGAGAGGGTACCAATAATGTATAACCCGCATCTAAAGGCAATGTACGAAAAAATTGCAAAAGTAAAGGGAATTAAGATTGCATACAAAAGAAACCCAACCATTTACAGTTTATTAA